ACAACGATTGAAATTTCTTTTGAGAGCCCTTGTCAGTTGCGCCGAACATGGTTTGTTGAAGGGGAACGCAAATAGACATACAGACTGATGGCAGGACGGGGGGGAGGGGCCTGCTATTTGCCCTGGGTGACGGGGAGGGGACAAAGCAAACCCGCCTGCAGTTTTGACCAGTAAATAAAATCGGGGAGCTCTGCGTGGCTGAAACCATAGGGGATTTATTAGTTTGCTCAGTGGAAGGCAAACATGAAGTCTGAAGCTGCCCCGTCCTGTGGCCTGCCTTGGGCCTTTGTATGCCGTCAGGCGCCGATCACCTGGACTCCGGGTTATCAAGTTCTGTCGGAGGTGTGTGTTTCTAAATCGCTTTCCATATCCTTCTCTGTTTCTTCCTCCTCTGCTCGCCCCTCCCCCACCTTTTACGGTGACTCAGATCTGGGTTCTGGAGAGGAGAGCAGGGTGTGAAAGACATAGTGTTCTGTTACAAAAACGGCCTGTACTCAGGGCTCCGGCTGGCCCGGGACTGGCCTGCCCACTGTGTTGTGGGCCTGGTGGGTCCCCTCCATCCTCTGCCCTGACGTCTTTTTAAAAAATTAATTTATCTTCCAATTGCAGTCGACATACAATATTACATTAGTGTTAGGTGTACAGCGTAGTAGTTAGACGTTTATATACCTTACAAGGTGATCACCAAGCAAGTCTAGTCCCCATCTGACACCTTCCATAGAGTTATTACACTGTTATTGACTATATCCCCTGTGCTGTACTCAACCTCCCCGTGACTACTTATAATAACTGGCAATGTGCACTTCTCAATCCCTTCACCTTTTTCACCCGTTCTCTCCCAACACCCCTCCCATCTGGCGACCACCAACATGTTCTCTACGAGTTTGTTTCTGTTTTGCTTCTTTTGTTTTTGAGACTCCACATATCAGTGAAAACATATGGTATTTGTCTTTCTCTGCCCGACTTATTTCACTTAGCACAATACCCTCTAAGTCCATCCATGTGGTTGCAAATGGCAAGCTCTCATTTTTTGGGGGGCTGAGTAATATTCCGTTGTGGATAGGTACCCATTCTTCTCTATCCCTTTACCTATTGATCTCGGCCCTGAACTCTTAATAATAAGTTAGGTCCCTTAATAAGACTTTTGGGCCAAGGCCTTGCCTCTCCTTCAGCTTAACATGAACATGATCACGGGCATTGGGGAAAGCGATAGACCTCGTTCTTCTAAGTTGTCAGCTTTATTTCGTATGGACTGTCCATACCTAACAGGGACAGACGGCTTCAACCCGATGCATCGAAAGGTGAGCTGCTACAGCGGGAGCTGTGTGTGCTGACGGGGGTCTGACGGGGGCTCATCTCTCCTCGTGGAGTGTAACATCCAGACCCCACAGGCGGGACAGCCACCCGTCTGCCCACTCACCCCGTGTGAGCTGCAGTGAAACCAAAAGGGGTAGCACACCCTTCACCCTCTGCCAGAAACAGCCCAGGCGCAAACCAGGCTGTGCCACTGTGGTTCTTGGGCGCTCCGACCTCGTGGGTGCTTGCTAGTAGCCACCCACCGTGGGGTGCATGCACCCTGGCACATTGCTCCATGTCAGTCCCCACATGCTCTCTCCAGGCCACCCTGCTCACGGTCCACGGAGCGCACATCTTCCTGGCCTGCCCAGGATATCACGGTTCCCTGGCACTGCTCCTGTGGCCGAGAATCAACCAATGAACGCATGAATGCTAGTAAGTGGAACAACAAATCAGTGTTTCTCTCTCGCGCTCGCTCGCTCTGTCTCTCTGAAATCACTAAATGCTGGGGTCCAGCCCCAGCAGGTCCAGGGGTCCCCAAAGGTGTGGA